ATAAGCGATTGTTTGATTTTTCCAAATTTCGATCTCCCAATAAAATTTTTCGAAAATTTTGTTAAACTTTTTGAAATAAGCAGTTTTATCAAATGTTTTTTGCTATTTTCGAAATGAGTATCATGTCTTGTAAGAGCACAAAGGTTTTACAGGCAGTTTTTTGCGTTTTTTCTCTCGAAATACGTGTAAAGCATGATTTGAATTTCGGGGAACCCAGAATTGAGGTAGTTCTTGTATTTGCGAGTTCTTATGTTTGCTGTTATGAGATTTATGTGAGCTTCGTGTCTTTGTACGTAGCAAAAGCTGCGTTCCTTGATGAAGCAGAACGACTCAAATAATTTCTGATAGGTATCGTTGAAAGGATTTTACATTTCAGTCGTGCCATAACAGTGTTTTTCAGGTGCGCCGTAATGGGTATTGTGGAGAAGATCCAGGAAATTGAGCACGAGATCAGTAGGACGCAAAAAAATAAGGCCACTGAATATCATTTGGGCCTTCTGAAAGCGAAACTTGCGAAATATCGGCAGCAGCTGCTGGAGCCTACAACAAAGGGTAGCTCGAGTAAGGGTGATGGATTCGATGTGATGAAGAGTGGTGATGCGCGAGTAGCAATGGTAATGGCTTAGCGTTATTTTTCCCTAAAATTTAAGAAAATGGCATCAAAATGAAATTGAACTGTCAAAGAGGGATTTTAAGTCAGCTTCATGAACTTCTCATTGCAAGGTCAGCAATCAACATTTATATAAGATACAGATTTGATTATAATTATAAACGCTATTTTCCAGGTTGGCTTTCCATCGGTTGGCAAATCCACGCTGCTCTCGTCGCTCACCACTACCGAAAGTGCCGCCGCCTCGTACGAATTCACGACGCTTACATGCATTCCGGGTGTGCTGGAGCACGAGGGCGCCAATATACAGCTGCTTGATTTACCGGGCATCATTGAAGGTGCTGCGCAGGGCAAAGGTACATAAAATAATGGTATTTCTTTGTTACATGCGAACTTTGTGATTGTCGCATACAGTGTTGGTGTGTTAATTGCAGGTCGC